TTGAAATATATCCAATTTAAATATATGGACTCTTCTTTTTGCTCTAATAACGTCCCTTACACTATCTTGTACCCTGGGATTGGATGTATCTTTGAGCAATGCAAGTAGATCTGAAAAAATACTATTATAAGTAATGGTGATTGCTTACGTTTTAGTCCTAAATACCGATATAACCATAAGTGTTAAAAGATGTATTTCATATCGCATTTTTGCTGGATCACTGAAATTTTATTTTTGTGATTGTCATCATTTGCCACTGTGCTGTGATGTCAAGTATTCAATCTCAAATCCATGGCATCAGCTTTGTGAGATTTTGTTAAATAGAAATGTCAACAATATTCAAAAAGGCACTTTATCGAGTTTCATGTGACATTTTAGCTATCTCACATGCAACATTAATCATTAGACATTCGATAACCCCCTGCCCATGCCTAAAAAAGCTCCTCTTGAACTCGATAGCTTTCAACTTTTATGATTATACAGGTTTATCTATGCCTACCTTTAATTTACAAATTGCAGTGTAACACATGTCAGTCGCAAAAAGCAGATTCACTTTTTATTTCTGTAAGGTTGGCTCCGCCATATATGCTTTCAAGTGCCTGGATGCATGAATTTATTCTTCGGAAGATCATTCGCTTCTTTATCCTTCCAAAATAAATATGGAATTTTACTGAGTTTTGTATGCAATATCGTGGTTTATATCTGCAAAAAAGATTCATAGATTCAAAAAACATTAAAAATATACACCTTGGTGTGGGCTGCAATCTTATAATCATATTTTTTAGAGTTATAGACTCAAATATTAGGTTCAAGTCTCCCACTGATATAAAAAAATATCAGATAAGGCAGGGCACGTTTAAACTCAATTTCAGAGCATTTACGCATTATTCATACTTGTAGCCTGACACTACGCAATCCAGAGTCCAATAATGATTTTTGAACAGGCATCTCCAACATCAAGAATGCAGTTGTTCTTGAGATACAATATTTCTTATCCGACATCTCATAAAGTCTGTAAGAATGAACCACATCTGAAAAAAATTCGATAAATATATAAATATGAATATGCAATGATTAATTTTGTAACTTACCTACCTTCATCACGGAACAGCTTGGTTGTAAGCTGTTGGACTTTTATATATAAATACCCATCCATTTGCATTAAATTGTTCATTTTCAGAACATCAATACCAGATATGGGATTTGGAGATCCCTCGGCTCAAAGAATTTGTTCAATGTAGAGAATTATTATTGACTGATCAACATTGTTTGCAAGAAAATAAAAAATTATGCCTCTGCCTTCGATTCATGTGTCTAAAATTTCTTAAACGTCAAAGTAACAACATAACCTCTAGTCAGAACTGTCAGCATGCCAGAAATCTGGAGCAATACACACAAGTACCTTACAAGAAGGCATGATATTATGACAATCGAGGAGGCCATAAAGGCGTCCTACTACTATTCGTCATTGTCTGTCAGAACGGTCCGTAGGACCTTTGCTCTTGGTTGAAGTCTTGTAAGTCAGTAGGTCTGTCAGGTCTGGTTGCCCAGATACCAAACAAAGTCAGGGAGAAAGAAGGGAAGAAGAAACGAAGGAAGGAAGGAGGGAGAGCAAAGAAAAAAGAAGTGCATCAATTTGAGGGGTGCCTTGGCATTGCTAGTTAGTATTCGGCAATTTTAAATTGATCCCAAAATTAATTTTGGGATTGGTTGTTGAAGAAAAATTATAATTTTGGTTGGACCTAAAGTCGCACGATTTAATTTTGTTCACAGTGCGAGTCGCGGCCTTGTGTGCTTGCGAACTTGCTCGACTGTGTAGTCTACTGACTCGCGCAACAAAGAGTTGTTATGCGATTCTGCTTGACTGTAACGTAGCTGCGCTTGTTGTTTGATGTAGTCCCTTAGGTAAGGGATGTCAAGGTCTCTGTGAAGGGTCTCGTTGGAAACATACCATGGGGCGTTAGTGATTGTACGCAATGTTCTGTTCTGCAAAACCTGCAGGCTACGCAAATGCGTTTTGGCGAGAAAACACCAAGCCGCACTTGCGTAAGTGATCGCTGGTCTAATAACCATCTTGTATAGTCGAACTTTGTTGATCAAACTTAATTTTGTTGTTCTACATAGCATAGGGTAGAGTTGCCGAAACGAGATTTGGAATTTAGTTTTTAACGCTTCAGTGTGCTTCTGCCAGGTTATCCCCTTGTCAAGAGTGATACCGAGATACTTAGCAGAGCTTTCCCATGGTACCCGAGCGCCATTCACTGAAACCTCAGACGGGGCGACGCTACGTTTTTTAGTACAATAGATTGCCTGCGTTTTCGAATGATTAATTTTGATCAGCCACCGATTCGCCCATTCCAATACCTCGTCCACTGCACTTTGCAGCCTGTCGTGAACTAGATCCCCAGGGCACGACTGGGCCACCAGGGCAGTGTCATCAGCATAGAGATAGGTTTCACAGCTGCTGGGGCAAGGGACGTCATGAATAAAAAGTGAATAAAGGACTGGTCCAAGAACCGAACCCTGAGGGCACCGGCTTTGATGGGCCATGTTGTCGACAGAACATTATTAATTTTGATCTGAAATTTCCTACCCTCGAGAAAGGATTTCAAAAGTTTTAGGAGCCAGAAGGGAAGCCCTTATGGGTCAATTTGTAGAGAAGGCCCTTGTGCCACACCTTGTCAAATGCCTTTGAGACATCCATCAGCAAGATGCCAGTACTTTCATTACGGGTGAACCCGCTGGTTACTCGTTCAAGCCTTATGGCCTGTAGCTCCGTACTATGCTCAGACCGAAAGCCAAATTGCACGTCAGGAATCACATTGTGGTCTGCCGAGAAATTTTCAAGGTGACGTAGAATCACCTTTTCAGCGAGCTTAGAAGGAGCTGACAGTAGACTAATGGGGCGGTAATCCTGAGGGAATATCGAACCCACCTTCTTCGGAATCATTATGACATCGGCGGTCTTCCACGCCGTTGGGAAGTGCTGGGTCCTTAGCATGGCATTGATTATTGCCACGAGATAAGTTAAGGACTTCCGCGAAAGTAGCTTCAGCGCCTTATTAGTAATTCGATCCTCTCCAGGTGCTTTACGCACCTTGAGGTCTTTAATATGACCTTGGAGCTCTGCTGGTGTGCAATGCGGAGTCTCAGGAGATCTCGCTGATGTGCCGTGCAGCTCTTCAATTGAGGAATCATCTGAAGATTCCTCTGAGGAAAAATCACTAAGGGAGGAACTACTGCCACTGACGCCGTTGGCCCTAAAATATCTCCTGACGGATCTTACAATATGTTGCTCCTCGTCGAGGTCATTATCAAGGTCATCGTTGGGAGAGAACTGACTTTCCATTGCATCAGCGAAAACCTCGACCTTTTCCTCTGTCCTACAGACTATGCCTCTAGGACCGTGGATGTGCGGAAGTTGTTCTCGCTTTCCGTTTCTGAGCGACTTTGCAACTTTCCAGAGAGGAATACTTGAGTCAAGCATCCCCGACAGAAAGTCGCTCCATTGCTCATTACGGAATTCATGAAGAGCATTTCTCACTTCATGAACAAGATTAGTTGCTCTGTGAATGTCATCTGGGTGACAAGACCTCTTCGCTTGCTTAATTGCAGCTCTTTTGTCAGAAATTTTCTGACGAATGTCTGCAGGGAGAAACGGTCTGCCGTGTCGTCGTACTGGTAGTTCAGCTGCACGCTGCAGAGCTTGCTGAACGGAACTTGTCCACTCCGCTTGAGCAGCATCTATATCGCTCTCATCATCTATGATCGGGATATTGGGGAACTCTCTAAGGAGCGACTTGTATAGTTCCCAATCAACCCTTTTCCTTGGAAGAGGGTCCCCTTCCAAGGTTTGCTCATTACCCACTTCCAGTATGACAGGAAGATGATCGCTTGAAATGTCATACATGATTCGAGAAGTGACACTGAATCTACAGTTTCTAGATATCGCGAAGTCAATGATATCTGGTGCCTGAGGGTGATTAAATGGGTGGTGAGTTGGCTCCTCAGTGCTGTGTATGAGGTAGCCGTTTCGTATCGCATGGTTGTAAAGTCGAATCCCACTGGTGGAATTTAACCTAGAGTGCCATGCTCGATGTTTACAGTTAAAGTCCCCTGCTACAATAAGCCGACCCGAGCAGTCAAACAGGACTTCCAGATCCGTCTCTTGCAGCCTGGCACCACATCTGACATATACCGATATGATTTTCAACGAGATATCTCCCGTCATATTCACTACGACCGAAGTTGCCTCGATGCTCTGCATCTCAGCGTTTGTGCTTCTGTAATAGTCAATACCACGTTTTACTAGCACTGCCAAACCGCCACCCCGTCCATTTAATCTATCAGCGCGGATAACATCATAATTCGGGAAAGCTAGACGATCTCCCGGATTAAGCAATGTTTCCTGCAGCAGAGCTACATCGACGTTCTCAACCAAAAGAGCTTGATGAAATTCCCGTTTTTTGGGGACATCCCTAAGACCCAAACAATTCCAGAAAAGAATTTTGATGAATTCAGGCTGTCTGCTATTGTACCTAGCCATTTAGCGGAAAGATCGCCTGCAATGCCTTAGTGGCGCTTATCAGGGGACTAATAATCTGCTGTAGGGACCTGAGCGCTGTAGCTAGATCTAGATCCACATTTTGAGTAGTCGTAGATGAGCTTGAAACAGCAGGGGCAGTTGAGGTGTCATCTCTTGCTGCGTCAGCGTAGGACTTTGCTCGCCTTTGTGCGATGACTTGTAGATTTCTCCTAGGAGTAAATCTACAGGTCGGACTATTTGTCGGATGGTCCCCCCCACAGTTCGCACATCTGTGAACCTCTTGTCTTGTTTGAGGGCACATATGTGTCGAGAGTTCTTCTGAACTTCGACTCTGATAGAGAGCCCCAGCAATTCGTGCTCGTTGAACACTTGCTGTGACTTCTCCGTCTTAGGCAGGATCACCACCATCAAGGGCATGGGCACGCCGCCGTTGCGCTTTAGGCTTCTAGCTCACCTTTGACCTCCTGTTCGGTGGTTGATGCTGGGATACCTCTGATAACCGCATGGATGTTGCGTTCAGTGGGCAAAGGGAAAGTGTGATGAGGAATGTTTTCCTCTTTGAAAAGACGGATTATCCTGCGATAATCGTCTTCTGTTTTGGGGATGATACGTATCCCAGCGTCAACGGCGACTGCTCGTTCAATACGAATACTAAGACTTACAAAGGAATAGTTTAAGGTGCGCCATTTTGTCGCATCTCTCAACACGATTGGAGTAATACGCACCTGGCGAGGCGATTGGGCCTGTGTGTTTAGAGATCCGCTGGATGGCAAGGAAGATGAGTTGCAGCCAGCCAATGGATCAGACTGCACTTGGGGTATAACAGGAGAAGCACTCTGTGTGGATGCTGATAAAGGTCTTTCCCTTGGCTGACTAGTAGAAGCGGTAGAGGGTACAGACGCAGACCGTTTTAGGTTGCCTGAATGTTTGTTATTTGTGGATTTCGTCGGTAGAGGAGGAAATTCTGTTTTGCGCAGTCTCACTTTGCGATGTCGCACAGGTGTGAAAAGATCACCGGTCTCAGTATGTAGGTCACTCGAATGGCTGTTATGTCTACGTTTTGCTGTTTTGGAAGAATCAACATTGGGAACTGATTTATGAATGATACTTGTAAGCTTAAAAACCTGGGCATTAAGTGACTCCACACAGTCAGTCAGTCTCTGAATCTGGGCTGCTTGGTCTGCAATTATCTTCAAAAGTCTCTGGTTCTCGTTTTCCTTCTCCAGTATCGGTGTCATCTCTGATGTCATCATTGGCGTCATCTCGTTTTGGTTTTCTGGAATATATTCCAAAGTAGCGCTGCACTCCGCGCCAACTCCACTGAAAGCAGTAGAGGGTTCGCCTGGGGACCCCTCGGGTTCAGCTTCCATAATATTATTGCCTTCTTTCTTGCCAAAATATAAAAATTTCTCCGGATGCAAAAATTTGGCAATTAATGTCAGATGATGCACATCTGTCATTGGGCGTCCTACAATAATTGTATGAACGACTAACGATACGGCCTTTAGGCCCTTTTGTTTTGACGTTTAAGAAATTTTAGACAGATGAATAAAATACAGAAGCATATTTCTTGCAAATGTTGATCAGTCAACAATAATCCCCTACATTGAGCAAATTCATCAAGCTGTGGTATCTTCAAATCCCATATCTGGTATTAATGATCTGAAAATGAACAATTGAAGCATGGAAGCAAGGAGAGGTATGTAAGGTTGGAATTATGAAGTATGAAAATTTTATTGTTTTATTTGGCTGTGTAAATACCTGAATGTCAAACAAGCCTTTATTTATTTTATGTTATTTGTCTGTATGAATCCACCGTAAAAGCATAGTGTAGTTGCTGAAAGACTTTTTTTCAGATCATGTGCAAGTGCTATTTGGATTGCAAAAAAATTTCTTATGAAAGAAGACTTCAGCTATTTGAAAAATGTTATGCCGAAGATTACAAAACACAAGGCACATACTTGATGAGGTTAATCAATCTTGTTTCAATTAAAAGACAGCGACATGGAGGCTATCAAAATGTTAATGAAAGCAGAAGGCAAAATTCCGTCTGTTACATGGTTCCTGACCAACACTTTTCTTCAGGTATGCCGAAAGACGTTCAAGAACATTTTTGCTGTACTCCAAAAAAGAGGTCTTATGAATAAGAAAAAAATGCGTGAAATTACTTTTTGTGATGGGCGAATCAATCACAAGCCAGCCAAATTTTTCTCAAATGATCGGCGGCTAATTCAACAACATATTGAGTCTATTCCAAGAGACGTATCCCATTATGGACGTAAGAAATCTGAAAAAAAGTATTTGAGCCCAGATTTAAACATTCATCGCCTTTTTAAAGCATTCAAGGCAAAGCATCCGAACTCTATAGTGACATATATATTGCAGAAGTGCTTATTCAAATGCAGAAATGACGGAAATACATTGCCGACGGTAATGGTGAGCAAGCCAGACGGATTCATCACCAGAGATATCCCAATCGTGCTTTGCCAGATAGTCGAACCTTTTCTAATATCCATCGTCGTCTTGCTGAAACTGGTTCTGTCCGAAAAAGAACATCTGAAGGTAGACCTCTAAGTGTGTAGAACACCTGAAATTGAGGAAGCAGTGCTGCACGAAGTCGAAGAACATCCTGAAACGAGTACGAGGAAGATCGCTAGACACTTAAATATTTGCCATCAAATTGTTTGGAGAATTTTAGTGGATTTTTTTATATCCTTACCATATTTTAAAAGTACAGGCATTACTTCCCAGTGATTTTCCAAGGCGTGTGAGGTATCTTCAAAAATTACACAAAATCCGCAATTTGAATCAACAATTCTGTTCACGGACGAAGCTAATTTTTCTCGAAATGTTCAGAATTTCCACAATAATCATTTGTGGGCAGAAAAAATCCCTTTGCCATAACCGAAACCCATTTCCAACACCAATATTCGGTTAACGTATGGGCAGGAATTATTGGCAACCACTTTATTGGCCCGTTCTTCTTGCCGGGACAACTTGACGGACAGACTTACCTCAATTTTCTTCAACAACAGTTGCCTTTGTTGCTTGATGATGTTCCGTTTTTAATAAGAAACATATGTGGTACATGCATGATGGTACACCAGCGCATTTCACTCTACCGGTTCGTAATTATTTACAAACTGTTTATCCAAATCGTTGGATTGGCCGCGGTGGGCCCAAGAATGGCCACCAAGGTCCCCAGACCTCAACAGTTTAGATTTCTTTTTGTGGGGCTATCTTAAGACACTAGTGTACACAAGTCCCATTAACACTGTGGAGGAATTAAGAGAAAGAATAGTTGCAGCTTGTGATAGAATGAAAAACAATCCAGGGATATTTCAACGAGTGAGCAATTCCATGAGAAAGAGGGCGGAAGCATGCATACTAAGTGAATGGGGCCATTTTCAACAATTTTTGTAACCATTTCGTTGATTTTAATGTTGTTTATGTTGTCAGTTGTTGTTTTATCATTACCCCTAATGTGTTTAATTTTTCCAATTAAATTAATAATAAATTTGCAAGTTAGACAATAAAACGTTTTTTATTTTTTTACTCAAAAATGGCGCATCGAAGGAAAACAGTTCAAGAGAGATGATTTGTTTAAATTGAACGGGGAATTTAAAATAATTTTTATTTGGGAAAAGACTATTGGCGTACTATTTTTTCTTCTAAAAATTGTTTTTGCATTGAGAAATATGCAACTTTATTAACTTTCACTACGTACTAAATATCAGTGAAGTATCTGAAGCGGTTGTGAAAATATTAATTAATTTCCATTTTTTTCCTAAAACTTCAACACCCTGAGTTTATGTAAGGAAACATTTTTGAACCATAGTTTATAAAGCAAACTAACATTAATTTTTCATGTAGATTCACACCCTTATATATTCGCATATCATTAAGGAACACCCTGTATATTAATGTTGAAGCATGTGGTATATGAAAAAAAAGTGAGGAAACTTAAATACACTTTCTTTCCCAATTAGTTTTTTAATTAACTTGGAATCTTAACCTAAAAGGGAGAATCTATTAAAACTGTGGCATAGGAATGGAAAACATTTTCTAGTTAAGAAATTAATATCAAAAACTGAACAGGTTTGATATTTGATTCACTCATATTCAAATCAGAGTTTCCTATCTATGCTAGACACATTAAAAAAATATTAAATTATTGGCTCAAAAGTCAGCATTTATCTCTTGCAGTATTAGTAGTTGCAATTTAGTGTGCTTCCTAATTGAATGTCCCTATCTAAGGGGGTGGTTTTAAGTCCATTTTAAGATGAAGACTTCATATGATCGTATGTCCTAAATGTTTTATCTGTTGAGACCCAGGGTGGTAAAAAAGGCAAAAAAAATAAATCGTTGATTATGTATATCTGTAATATTTATTTAATTTCACCTGACTATTTTAAAAGTGATAGTATGCCGTTGATTTATCTCTTATTGAAATTGTCAATCACTTCTAAGCGAAAAAACACTTTTTTTCAATCTGACGAACGGTTTTCATAAAATTAAAATACTGTTTCACTCTTCGATCATACCAATATTGTTAACATGACAATATCACCATGCAGAGCAATTTTTGGGTCGAAATCGTGGGTTAGACTTAAAAAAATTGAATTCTTGAAAATACAAGCTTTTTCTCGACAGAGTGACATTGCCATACTAACGATGTTAGGATCACGCAAAGAAACGTTATATTATTTTTCAAGCGAATACCGTGCATCGGAGTGGAAAAAGTAAGCAATCAAATTTGCTTAGAAATGACTGGGGATTTCACGAGTAGTTTTTATTTTAAGAGAAATCAGTTGCGTACTATCATTGTCTGCCAAAATGGGTAAGTGAAATCGGTATGAACGACGCAGGTGGAAATTAAAAGAAAATTCCTACATTAAAAATACCTCTTGACAGTACGTATATGCCGAATTTTAATAAAGTATTTAAAGTAGTATTAAATATTGACATTCAGTTGGAAATTACCAATTCATAGGTGTGGTATTTAAAAATAAAAACTGTTTTTTAATATCTTCAAAACCGTCAATTGGAATGAACTAAAATTTGGTATGTGGATAGTATTGTCCACATTCAACAGTCTTACTTAAAATGAACGTGCACCAGTGGCGGAGATACAGGGGATTAGTGGAATTATTTTTCCGAATAAAATAGTACGCCACTGATTTTTTTCGAAACGCGCAAATTTTCGAATTCTACCTTCAATTTGCTACAATAATTACTATTGTGTTTTTTCCTAGAGTGCACTGTTTTCGTAAAATTAAAAAAAATAGATAATCAAAGCTTTATTTCAATAAATGTTCAAAAGGACCACCATTCTGACGAATACTAGTGCGGCATCTTTTTAATAAAGAAAAACGCATTTCCGCTAAATTTGTTGTGGCTTGAATTCAAAAAGAAATCCAGGGGGTTCAAATCAGGAGACCTCGCAGGCCAATGTACGGGTCCGTTTCTGTCAATCCATCATTGTCTAAAATGATTACTTAAACATGCGGTTATGTCATGACGAACATGGGGTGGGGTAGCGTCGTGCTAATACCACATTCGTACTCTCGTTGCTAACGGAACATCATCTAACACATTTCTATGTAATATGCAATACGTGCATAAACAGTTGACCATTGAAATGTCACACCAGATATTTTTAGAAAATATTTGTTGAAACGAGTGGATTTTACAGAACGGAGGTTCTAACAATCAAATATGTTCATTGTGAGAATTAAAGGTTCCACTCCTCTGACCACAAAACCAAATCAATAAAATCTGCATTTGATTATGCGTTTGCAATAACCACTAACAAAAATTTCGACGTTGCACTTCGTCGCCGGGTTGCAGATATTGCACATTTTGCCGATGGTAAGGATGTAAAACTTCCCGATTTAAAATTCTCTAAGACCTTTGGAAACATGGTCACTGGGCTGTTCTCTTGAACAGTATGGGCCTCTACCTCCGGGAAGTTTGGCAATTGCATATTGGGGAAGTCTTAGAAATAAACCCGTAAAAACCTTTGGAGTAGGTTGGCGTCTGTTAGGAAATCCACGTTGATACGAAAAGAAACTTTTGACTTAACTTTTACAAATAAATCGTAGTAGTAACGATAACAACCGCATAACAAATATCTTTGACAAATCATCTCCCAAGAAACGACAAGTTGGTATCAAGGATTCTATTTTATTTTGAAACTATGTAATTGTATCTCGGCTCTTCATGAATGATCTAATTT